TTTATAATAGTATAAAGAAAAAAAGTACTGCACAGATAAAAGGAGAAAAAATAGATTTTTTAAAAATAAATGATATTGGGGCCCTGGCTGGTGTGGCTCAATGGACTGAGTGCCAGCCTGCAAACCAAAGGGTCGCTGGTTTGATTCCCAGTAACAGCACATGCCTGGGTTGCAGGCCAGGCCCCCAGTGGAGGGGCACATGAGAGGCAACTACACATTGATGTTTCTCTCCCTCTCTTTCTCTCTTCCCTTCTCTCTAAAAAATAAGTATTTTTTAAAGTAAAAAAAAAAAATAAATGATACTGGAACAACTTGGTATCTACATTATTAGGATAAAATATCTAAAAGATGCACAGGAGCTACATAAAGAAATTATAACCCTTAGAATGTCAAAAATGACCTCTTATTCACAGAATGAAAATCTCATACTGAAAAAGACATCAATTACTTCCGACCAAGATGGAGGCATAAGTGGACACACTGTGCCTCCTCACACAACCAAAATTAAAGACAACAAAAATTTAGAAACAAAAAATGACCAGAACAGACAGAAAACTGAACTATACGGAAGGACAACAACCATTCATCCAGACCAGTGAGAGAGGCGGAGTCGGTGGCCGGCAGAGAGGGGTCGAGGCAGGAAAAAGCAGTGGCTGGCAGACCCAGGCACGCAGGGCACAGGCAGCAGATCCAAGGCTCAAAGGCAGCCGCTAGCAGACCCCGGTGGCAGACCCCAAGCGTGGGGAGGCAAAGAGCAGACCCAGTGAGGTTAGCAAGGCAGCTTACTGTCTGCAGTCACACATTCATGCACAGATAAGCCAGGTGAAAATGGGCAGCGAGACAGACCTCACAACCCAGGGGCCCAGCACCAGGAAATAATGCCTCTTAACCACTGACTGAAACCCCCCACAGGGGTTGAGGTGCCGGGAGAGACTCCCAGCTTCACAAAAGAGTTCATTGGAGAGACCCACAGGGTCCTAGAACATACACAAGCCCACCTGCCCAGGAACCAGAATCAAAAGGGCCCTATTTGCTTGTAAAAAGCAGGGGAAGTGACTGAAATCCAGAAGAGAGTGAAGGAACCGCCACTGTTCCATCCCAAACCCCTCCCCCAAAACACAGCATCATAACCCAGCAACTGGATTGTCCCGCCCTGGTGAACACCTCAGGCTCCGCCTCTCATACATAACAGGCATGATCAGACCCCCTACCCCAAAAATGGCTCAAATGGAGGAACAAATCAAAGCTCCAGGGCCAATACTTTTAAGCAACCAAGAGATAGCCAACCTATCAGATGCACAGTTCAAAGCACTGGTGATCAGGATGTTCACAGAATTGGTTGATTTTGGTTGCAAATTAGATGAAAAAATGAAGGCTACACTAAGTGAAATGAAGAAAAATGCACAGGGAACCAATAGGGATGGGAAGGAAACTGGGACTCACATCAATGGAGTGGACCAGAAGGAAGAAAGAAACAACCAATCAGAAAAGAAGGAAGAAACAAGAATTCAAAAAAATGGGGAGAGGCTTAGGAACCTCCAGGACATCTTTAAATGTTCCAACATCCAAATTATAAGGGTACCAGAAGGAGAAGAGGAAGAGCAACAAGTGGAAAACTTATTTGAACACATAATAAAGGAGAACTTCCCCAATCTGGCAAAGGAAATAGACCTCCAGGAAGTCCAGGAAGCTCAGAGAGTCCCAAAGAAGTTGGACCCAAGGAGGAACACACCAAGGAACATCATAATTGCATTACCCAAGATGAAAGATAAGGAGAGAATCTTAAAAGCAGCAAGAGATAAGGAGGCAGTTACCTACAAAGGAGTTCCCATCAGACTGTCAGCTGATTTCTCAAAAGAAGCCTTTCAGGCAAGAAGGGGCTGGAAAGAAGTGTTTCAAGCCATGAAAGGCAAGGACCTACATCCAAGATTACTCTATCCAGCAGAGCTTTCATTTGGAATGGAAGGGCAGATAAAGTGCTTCTCAGATAAGATCAAGTTCAAGGAGTTCATCATCACCAAGCCCTTATTTTATGAAATGTTAAAGGGACTTATCTAAGAAAAAGAAGATAAAAAACACGTACAGTAAAATGACAGCAAACTCACAATTATTAACAACCACACCTAAAACAAAAGTAAACTAAACAAACTAGAACAGGAACAGAACCACAGAAATGGAGATCACATGGAGGGTTATCAACAGGGGAGTCTGAGGGGGAGAGAGGAGGAAAAGGTACAGAGAATAAGTAGCATAGATGGTAGGTAGAAAATAGACAGGCGGAGGGCAAGAATAGTATGGGAAATGTAGAAGCTAAAGAACTTATGACACATGGACATGAACTAAAGGGGGGGAATGTGGGTGGGAGGGGGTGTGCAGGGTGGAGGGGAATGAAGGGGGGACATGGGACAACTGTAATAGCATAATCAATAAAATATATTTTGAAAAAGATATCAATTTTCCTCTCAATGTAATTATAATTAAAATCACTTGTTGAACTTAAAACATGATACTAAGTCTATGTGGAAGAGCAAAGGAATCCCAAGACACTCTTAAAAAAGACAAAAAGGCATTAGCATTCTCAAATATCTAGACTTCATATAAATCTATACTAATTATGACTATGTAGAAAAAAGTATAAAGAAATAGAGCAATAAAACTAAATAAAACCCAGAGACAGACACAAGCATATATGGATACTCAACATATGACAGAGTGGGTAATATACAGATAAAAGTAGAAAGGATCAATTTTTAAAAAAAAACAAAAACACTGATAATAGAAAAATTTGGTTTCTACATGAAAAAAAACTACTTTTTTTATTTAAAATAAATTGGGACCCCCTTCATGGCACCACATAAACACACAAACAAAAAAGAAGTCAACTACACATGGATTTTAAACCTAAATGTATGGAGTAAAACCCATAAAACTTTTATTAGAAAATATTGGAGAATATCTTAACTTCAGGTTAAGAAAAGATTTCTTAAACAATATGAGCACAGACCCAAGAGAAAAGATTGATAAATTTTAAACCAGAATTTATCTTCATCATAAGATACCACTAAAGAAAGTAAGAAGATAAGCCACAATCAATATCTGCAACATGTGTAACATGTAAGGATTAGGAGCTAGTCTACATGTAATGTGTCCACACAAATAAATAACAGACAAGTCAACAGGTAAAAATATTTTAAAAGGAATTTCACAAAAAAAAAATTCAAATGGCCAATAAACATTAAAAATGCTCAACATCATCAGTAATCATGGAAATGCAAATCAAAACCACAGTGAGATACCATCTCCATCACTAGACTGGCAAGTTAGAAGTCTGCCCATATCAAATATCAACAAGAATTGAAAAATACAACTACCATCCTGACCAGGTGGCTCAGTTGATTGGAGTGTCATCCTGTACACCAAAAGGTTGCAGGTCCAATCCCTGGTCAGGGCACATATTTAGGTTGTGTGTGCAATCCATGGTCAGGGTGTGTACAGGAGGCAACTGATTGATGTCTGTCTGTCTGTCTCTCTCTCTCTCTCTCTGTCTCTCTCTCAAATCAATGACCATATTCTCAGGTGAGGATTTAAAAAAAAGAAAAAAGAGAAAAACAACTACCTGCGTTCATTGGCATTGATAGGAATGAACACTGATACATGCATTTGGGAAAACAGTTTGGTATTATCTATTAAATTTTGAATATGTACATATCCATGACTCAAATATGCAACTCCTAGTTACATATCCTAAAGTAACTACTGCACATGTACACCAAGAGCCATGTTCAAAACATTATAGTAGCAAAATATTCAAAATATGCATATAAACAAAGCACTGGAAAAACTCAAAACTCTACCAAAAATAAAATGGATAAATTGTAGGAAACTCATGCAACAAGTAACCAGAGTAATTTTACATTCATCAACACGGATAAATCTAAAAGCAGAATGCTTAGGAAAAGAAGCAAATATCAGAACACAGTTTAAGTCCAATAAATTAAAATCTAAAACAGGGCAAAACTAAACAAGCAATTATTCAGAGACGTATTTAACATATGGTAAATTTACTAATAAAAGTAATGGAATGACTCACAGAAGTCTGGATAAAAACTACCTCTCAGAGGCATAATTGAAAAAGGGACACATAAAGGTTTCTAAAGTTTTGACGTATTGTTTAGGTTGAGTGGCAAACATATTGGTGTTAATTTTATTATTATTTTTTAAACTATAAGCTTCATAAATCATGTATGGGTATTTAATAATAAAACCAATTTGGGGGAGAGGGTAATGAGTTTGAGAGTGAAGGCAGGAGGCGAAGAATCTTAAGTCAGGCAAGGAAAGCAAGAAGAAAAGCAGGACAACAGCTCAAAGGGATACATGGGCGTGATTACACCTGAGCATGTTTAACACCAATGACAAGGCTCCAATGGAACTGCAGAGGTTAAAAACATAGGAGAATGAGGAAATAATTTATAAAATGAGATTTCTAAGAAGGTGGGTGGGTTAAGGTTCAGAGCACATATGAGGAAAAGATACTTCTTTTACTTCAATTTGATGGAACAAAGCAAGAATTGAGGACTTACATGCTCATCTCCCCCAACAAACTGCATTTCCCTTGATAGCCAGGCAGTCCTAGCACCTAGAACAGTGCCAATGGGCAGGGAAGAGAAAAGAGGTGAGGACTGCTTTGGGTATTTTCAAAAAGTACTGAATGGATTCCCTGAGGAGAGTACATTGTTGATACTTAAATATTCCGATCACCTATTAGCTAACTTCACAAATACTTGAATCACCTATTAGAAACGTCTACATTAAAGTTTCCTTCTTTATCAGATAAATGCAAAACAACAGAATATTAAAAGTCCAAGTCATGCTTTTTTTAATATACACTGAATATTTATATTAGCAATATAAATATATTAGCAATGTTTTAAAGACTAATTTCCTCAAAATAACTATTACCTCACTTATAAAAAATTAAGAAAAAATCAACTTCTACTTACTTAATGGAGTTTCTAAAGTGATCTTCAGCCGGGTTTTTTACAGTACAACTATTCAGGAGCCACAAATCTGCGTCTGATGCATTTTCTATGAAAAAAATGAATATGAGAAAGAAAAGTATGACATTTAGCCATCAGAAGTATCCAAGGGCTCTCTCAGATGGCACTGGGACCGCTGGGGTCTCTCGAGCAGAGAGAGGCAGAGAATAGAGTCAAGTAAACAGGCAATTACAATACAATGGCTAACTGCTATAACATGGGAATATTCATGAGAAATAAATATTAAAATGTATAACCTGTGCTATTTTCATTTAAAATATAAAGAGGATGATCATTTGCTTCCTATATTTTCAATATTTAAGAATATTCAATAACTTCCAAAAACTAAAGTGTAACTGTCCTAATCTTATCTCTGAATATGAAATGGCCCCTTTTGGGCTACATGTTAATATTTTTCAAGCACATGTATTATCATACACTGAATACTCTCCAGCTTGAGTTATTAAAAATATAATTTGTCTTCCTTGAAAAAAGTTAAAGATTCACCTCAAATTGAGGCTTTTATTCCTCCCAACAATTTGATTAGATATTGTTATATTCTATAATAAATGCACTAGCAGTGCAACACAGCATCCAAATCCATTGTGTTTGGTGAAATGAATTTATAAATGCCTGAAGCCAGTCCAACTACCTGCTGCCTAAAAGGACTTCCACTTTAAAATAGGATTAGCACAACAAAAGGAAAACCAAAATTGAAAACTGCAGCACCTTCAATGGTATTTCTAGAAGAACAGAAGCTAAGATCGAAAGACGTGAAGAACTAAGAGGACACACAGATGTCTGTTCGTACAACCGATGTGAGAAGGGAGCTTCAAGTGACAACATTACATGAGAGGGAGGGTGAGCACACCAAAGCTTCTAGCAATTTGGCAAAAAAATTTTCCCCCAGCATTTTATTATAAAAACAGTAAAACGTTTTTACAAAGAGGCAGGATCCCAAAATTCTTGAAATGCTAAAAAGACAAGAGAAGTTCTTCATTTCTATATGCCAGCTGAGTACCATGATCCGTCCTAACTCATCTCCCTCCTCCTATTCCTAATCCCACACCACGGTGTACGTCCCACCCAACAGCCAGGGCAGCATTTTATAAAACATAAATTCGATTATGTCACTTCCCTACTCAATCTCAGAAAGGATGAGTATTCACCAACCTCCTCCAGTTCCGTACAAACTATTCCCCACAATGCCATCTGAAAGACAGCATTTCAATCTGATCTTAATATTCTTGCAATATTCCACTGATTGCACATTGATATTCAAGGCCTATCCAGATCTAGCACCTCCTCAACCTCAACATTCACCTCTCCCTAAATTCATCTATCCCTCCAGCCACACCAAACTACCTGGAATTCCTAAACTGTGTGCTCTGCCATCTGCGTACAATACCTTTATTTTCTTCAGAATGGCAACTCATATAGTTCTTCATCTGCCTATCCACCCAGCTAACTCCTACTCATCCTTCAGTCTCAGCTTGAGGTTTGTTAGATGCCTCTTCTCTGTACTTCCATAGTGCATAGATTATTCTGGCACTTTATAATTCTGTATTAAAACAATTCATTTTTCCAGCCTGTACTTATTACTATTCAAAAAATACTGAAGACAACATTTTCACCTGGTGCTCTCTGAATGTCCAGGTCCTAACACAGTAATGGGCACAAAACAGACATTCAAATAGCCATACAACACTACACAATACACAGGGAGGTACAAGAAGAAAGATTATAGAGGGACAATGCGTGAATCTACATGCATTTGACACTTACCAACCTCCTAAAGTTCTGAAGGTCATACTAATCTTCTGAAATAAGCTTCAAGAAAGTCACCAATTTAATTAACAAATATTTACAATTGAGACTTTATCTATTCACAGCTATATCCCCAGCACTTATTATAGTGCCTGGTACATAGTGGGTACTCATTAAATATTTATTAAACAAATGTTGAATATTTTTATTGATTAGAGAGAAGAAGGGAGCAAGAGAGAAAGAAACATCAATTTCTTGTTCCACTTATTTATGCATTCATTGGTTGAGTCTTGTAGGTGCCCTAACCAGGGGTCAAACCTGGATTCTCGGTGTATTGGGCCAACACTCTAACCAACTAAGCTACCAAATGTTGAATTTCAAAAGATGAAGTAAAAACTACAAGCAATGTGTTACACATATAACAAAAAGTCATGGATGTCTGTTATAATGATAAAAATAGAGACTCTGGATTTTTTAAAAAAAACAAAAATCTAGAGACAGAGCTACCCATGCCAGATGTCAGGTTGGTATCCTGGCACATTCTCCATTCAGTCACCCTAAAGCCATCAGACAACTTTTACCATATTTCTACAACAGCCCTCTCAAGGGAACTTAGCAATAAACACAGCAAATCACTCTACTCTGTCTGGAATTCTGTCAAAATAAAGCAAACACTACACTGGTGACCCAGCAGTTGCAATCGACAGGAAACCGGTGAATATACCAAAATGCTCACAAATTACCTAACTTTTTAGTAACCAACCACAAAAGATAAGTCTTCCCTCCAATGAGCATAGTTTCTTATCAAATTATTTCTGAACTTAGTTTTGTGTTACTGTATCTTTACTTAGTATTGTCGAAAGACAGTTATACTTACAAGCATAAAATAGTCAGTCAACAACCAAAGCACAATAACAACTTACTATGTACCAGGTTCTATTTTAGATTTTTGGGATATGGCTGTAAAAAGAGTTTCTACCCTTAAGGAGTTTACACTCTTAAGGACAAAGTGTGACGGGGGAAAAAAACAAGGAAACAAGCTAAATCCTTTCGGGTACCAGTCAATGATATTAGGACAATAAAAAAAAGCGTAATGGACAAAGAATAATTTGCAGAACCCACGGGTTACTGGTCAAAATAAGTCTCCCTCAGAAATTCAAATTTCTGAATTGGAGCTTAAATAATGGGAAGGAATCTGCAAAGATCAGAAGACAGAGCTTTCAGAGAAGATCCTACAAAAGCAAAGGCCTTCAAAGAGAGTGAGCTTACCATGCTCTAGGGCCAGAGAGAACACCAGTGTGACTGGACATAGGGAGAGTGGGGACAGAAAGGCCAGAGAGGCAGGCAGGAACCAGATTACATGATGGCAATTAATTGAGTTTCAAACATGAATGGAATTCTACTTCAGAAAGCCCATTCTGGAAGCACTCTGAAAACAGGACCAAAGATGGGGCAAATGAAAAAGCAATGGAAAAAAGCAAAGGCAAGAAAACCAGGTGGCACCTGGACCAGGATTATAGCAATGGCAAGAGTGAGAACTAGGTAGAGGCATTTTTGGAGCTGGACTCACGAGTACTCACTGAAGATTAGATCTGAATAGTACCAGAGGTAATCAGACAGGATCCCCAAGCACAGGGAAAGGATTTTGGCCTGCACATCAGTTGGTTGTGGTGGAATTCATTGAGACAAGGAGGGTTTGGAAAGAAACAGATTTGGGGAAGAGAAAATCAATGGGGGGTGGGGGAGATGGTATATTTGAGATCCCTATGAAATATCCAGTTAGAAATATTGATCAGCCATTTGTATATATGAAACCAAAGCTCGGAGGAGTCTTTCTGGCTGGAGACAGAAATAGGAGAATCAAAATTCTAGCAAGGGTGTCCTATCCATGGGCTGCAGGCTGCATGCAGACCAGGATGGCTATGAATGCGGCCCAATACAAAGTTGTAAATCTACTTAAAACCTTTCCTTTCCTCATCAGTTTTCGTCAGTGTTTGTGTATTTAATATGAGGCCCAAGACAACTCTTCCTCCAGTGTGGCCCAAAGGAGCCAAAAGGTTAGACATCCCTGCTAGAAGATATCTAAATCTATAGGATTGGATGAGTTCACCTAAGGATGGGTGGAGGGGAAGTGGAGAAAGGACAGGAAAATGTCCAAAACAAAACACTGGGTCACATTCAGAGGTCTGGTGGACAAGTTGAGATGAGAAAATGACATTGAAAAAATAGCAGCCAATAAGATAGGAGGATAAAAACTAAGGCATATAATGTCACTGAAATCCAGAGAAAAAAGTATTAATATTTGAAGTAGGAGTAATCGATTATGTTAAATGCTGAGAGTTCAAGAAGAATAGATGTCTGTATATCAGCATTGTTAACAAAAGAATAAAATGATTATCCAGACTTTTTCATTTTCCTTTTTCAATTGTATTTGCTTGTTCTGTGTCAACCCACAATCACCCAACAAAGGCCTTCCTTTTCACTAAGTAACTCAGAAAACAAACTCACTACACAAGGGGACTGAGAAGAAGTACTGTGTATGGCTATAAGCCAATAAAGAATGCTGATTCCACATTTTTGGTCCCCTAAAGAACACATTTCCTGGGTTCTAAGATGCCATCAACTCTAAAAAAGCACTATCAACTCTGTAACAGCTCTTCAAGAGGAGTGGAACATTACATTCATGTCTTTGCTAATTTTAAGCTATATGCCAACTTCAAACATTAACACAGGAGACAGGATGGGATAAAATGCAACTGAAACAAAAGAAATGTGAGTTTAGCATATCTGTCTTGGAGTGGCACCATCTGGAACAAACAAGAAATACCAAAGAACCTGTCTTTCCAGAACTTCATCACCCAAAATAAAATGTTCAAATACTACCACTAGTAAATGAACAGGTTATTGAGTTAAGTATCAGGGAAGAAAAGGTCTTGCCTTACTTAATCAGAGCATTCATGCCAGGTCCTCCGGTACCTAAGAGGAAGAAGCAGTTTTACAAAAGAGCCCTTAGGAAAAGAAGGACTAGGTAGATGGACAAGAATGGACTGAAGAAGGAAAACAGTAAGAAGGCACCATGTTTGGAAAAAGAACGGGAGAGGACCCCCAAAAATTTTTTTTACCTACTTTGAGTTTCGGCCTACAGCACTACTGTTAACTCCCCATATGAAACTGAAAATCATCTGCACATTAGCCAAATATTGCCAATGCCTGAGTTGGGATATCAGAAATGGTTTGGAAGGCTACAAACTTCAGACTAGTCAGATGGAATCTAGACCTCAA